AGCCGGGCGAGGTGGCGGGCGCCTGTAGTCCCAGCTACTTGGGAGGCTGAGGCAGGAGAATGGCGTAAACCCAGGAGGGGGAGCTTGCAGTGAGCTGAGATCTGGCCACTGCACTCCAGCCTGGGCGACAGAGCAAGACTCTGTCTCAAAAAAAAAAACAAAAACAAAATAAAAATTCTAGGAATCATTTATCAGAAAAAATTCTTGAAATTCAAAATGTTTGGATCATTTTTAAAAAATAGATGCATGCATAACCATTACAAAATAGTCTAGAAAACTGGATATTAAGTGCCTACATAAAGAAATCCCCAAATTTACTTAAGGTTACAGCCACCCATAAAATTGAGTACTCAAAAAAGCTGGTGGCAAAAAAGTTAGTGGCATTTGAAATAAAAAAGACTCAATGATAATAAAGAAAAGGAAAAGTGGTTACAAGGTAAACTGCTCCAGGACAGACACATCTTTGGAGTCTTCCAAGGTGCATTCAGAGACACAGCTGAAAAGGGCTGTGTGAAAATAAATTCTGTGTATGTTCTAGTTTTAAAAATTGTGTAGTAATTTATGTATTTTTAGGTAGTAATATACAAATGAGCTCAAACTCAGCTGAAAGCAACACCAACATGGTTGTTAGGCTTCTCTCCTCTAAAAATGAGGTTTTTCTAGATTGCCTCCAAAATCCCCCCAAACTCCAGGTCTCTGAGTCTATAAACTCCGCTGCATGATATAGCTGTGTGCTGTTTTTCCAGATAAAATGACCTTCTATGAACTATTAGGTAGATTCTCCCAGCTCATTATCACAGATTCATTGCCACTATAATTATGGTGCCAGCTGCTGCTGTGTTTTTTTGTTTTCTTTGCACTCCAGGCTCCAGATGAAAGCTGTGCATTTTCTGTGAAGTCCTAGAAATGAAACACATGAGCTTTCTAACTTTGGAAAATCACATGTTCTCTTTATTAGAATTCTGCTGAGACTAATGTGATGGGAGACAAGAGTGGAGTATTTAAACTCTGTAGCTATTAACACCCCAATCAAGTGTTTTAGCTTGTCTATAGAGTACTTCTCTGTTACTGATGCCTCCTGTTTTAGCAACTGAGATAGAAGATGCCTAGAACAAAAAGTCTGACCTGAGCACCAGAAGGTTGTCATAATTTAAAAAAAAAAAAATTCTTTGTAGAGATGGAGTCTTGCCATGTTGTCTGTCCATGGCTGGTCTCAAAACTCCTGAACTCAACTAATCTGCCGGCCTCCATCTTCCAAAGTGCTGGGATTACAGGCGTGAGCCACCATGCTCGGCCTAGTTGTCATAAAATTAATGTTATATTGCCTCCTCTTCTACACCTGGTAATAACTGCAAATGTTTATCATCTTTTATCTCTTTCCAGTATTCTATCAAAAGATTACTGGAAGTAAGGCCAGGTGCGGTGGCTCAAGCCTGTAATCCCAGCACTTTGGGAGGCCAAGGTGGGTGGATCACTTGAGGTCAGAAGTTCAAGACCAGTCTGGCCAACATGGTGAAACCCCGTCTCTACTAAAAATACAAATATTAGTTGGACACAGTGGTACGTGCATGTAACTCCAGCTACTCGGGAGGCTGAGGCAGGAGAATCGCTTGAACCTGGGAGGCGGAAGTTGTAGTGAGCCGAGATTGTGCCACTACACTCCAGCCTGGGCGACAGAGCATGACTCCATCTCCAAAAATAAAAAATAAAAGAGACCCTGCCCAAGCAGCTCAACTGTCCTCTTCCCCACCATTTTTTTGGGTGGCTGAGAAACTTATCACCTGAGTTTTAGGCTTATGGATTTGAAGCATGTACTCCTGCATTTGAGTATTAGTTCTCCTGTCCCACCTTCCCAGGAAAATATTATCTTTTGTAGAGTATGTTAATCACGGTCCACAAAACCAATTATGTCAGGCTGACTGCCACCACTTAGGCCACCATTGTTTTTGTAGGCTCCTGTGGTTCTCCACACCATCCTAGCCTCCTCAATCCCCAAATTCATGCTGGGCTACAGAAATCTTGAATCTTTGGCAGGGTTGGGAACCCACGGGCCTCTGAAGCAGACTCCCTGGAGGCACCAATTTAACCCTTCCCTTTTGGCGTCATAGTTTTCCCCCACCAGGACCCGAGTCATCTTTATTTTGGGGCAAACATAATTCTTTCTGCTTCTCTGAAGCATTCGGCCTCTTCCTTAAAATATTGTTTTTCTACATGGGCTCAGGCTTTTTGGGAAACAACACCCAGTAAGTCTAGTGTGAGGTTCTTCTGTTTTCTTGCTACATACATAACTGTTTTGAGGTAAGAAAGCACACAGGGGAAAACAGGTGAAAAAAATTATAGCTCAAAAACATTTTCATCCATATTAATTCAATTCCAGAAACAATTACGCTTTTTATAAAGACAACAATTTAATATACTACATTTACTGCTATGGAAAGATAATTCACAATATGTTGGGTTTTTTGTTTTGAGACAGGGTCTCACTCTTCTGCCCAGGCTGGAGTGCAGTGGTGTGATCATAACTCACTGCGGCCCTGATTTCCCAGGCTCAAGCAATCCTCCTGCCTCAGTCTCCCAAGTAGCTGGGACTACAGGTGTGAGCCACCACTCCGGCTAATTATTTTATTTTCGGTAGAGATGGGTTCTCACTCTCTGGCCCAGACTGCTCTCAAATTCCCGGGCTCAAGCAATTCTTCCACTTTGGCCTCCCAAAGCGTTGGAATTACACACATGGGCCACCACACCTGTCCCACATGTTGTTGTGACAGGAAATTATGAAGATGTCTATCAGGATGACTCCAATGTTTAAACAGAAAATGTACATCAAGTCAAAACGAATATTTACCACCATGAAACAGTAGCTATCACTACAATTCACACTTCATAAGCAACCTTTTTAGGAGCTGAATTGGTGAAGCTATCTGAGATTGACTAAGGCCTCATCAATATTGCCTTACTTTCTGCTTTGTATCTTTAATATTTTCTGTAATTTACTGAATAAAAGCCTAGCACCTGAATGTACTGCAATATAAATATACAGTATATAGAGCCCATAGATTTTTTTTTTTTCCTGGAATGCAGAGGTGCCATCTTGGCTCACTGCAACCTCTGCCTCCCAGGTTCAAGCGATTCTCCTGCCCCAGCCTCCAGACTAGCTGGGATTACAGATGCCTGCCACCACGCCCGGCTAATTTTTTGTATTTTTAGTAGAGACGGGGTTTCACTATGTTGGCCAGTCTGGTCTTGAACTCCTGACCTCAGGTGATCCACCTGTCTTGGCCTCCGGAAAGTGCTGGGATTACGGGCCTGAGCCACTGCACCCGGTCTAGAGCCCATATCTTTATTTAGCACATTAGTAAACAAAATGACTTTAGTTATCAGAAGTTAAGTAATTCAAACTTAAAGCTGTTGGAACTTTATTCTGAGCCTTGAGAGGAATGTGGCTACAGCCTGAGCCAAGAAGCAGGCATCTGCACCGTCTGCCTTTTGTTTCTGTAAATAATTAAAATAGGAGGAGCAAACCATACCAGAGATACAACCCCCTGAGATCACTACCCGTCCTCACGGAGTAACGAAGTACCCTTTCTTGGAATGTAGCAATCTGTAACCTACCAAATAGCTGTAAGTATACACTGGTCTCTTACGGAAAATGAAATCCTGCTAAAATTTGTCTCTGGCCACCTAGGTGAAACCTTAACTTCTTCACTTTGGAATGCTGACCCCATTTGGAGCTGGTGTCTCCTGGGTGGCTACCCTCAAGCCTTACGCTGGAATAAACTCTTATCCTTAATCATATTTCCTGAACCTATTTAAGGTCGACAGGAGAGGGAAGCGGAGATGTCTTGAGATAAAGCTGAATAAAGTTTCTCAAGAAAAAAGGGAAAGGGACCTCTGAGCTGTACGTTGTTTTCTAACTCTAGGGAGTTAGAGGTGAAGTAGGAACTTGAAGTTGGAAGTGCTGAGTTGGACAGCCCTCATCTCTAGGCAATACTTTAGTAAAGTGGAAAAACGGGAGAAGACGACGAAGGCTAGGGAGAGATGCACCCAACCCAGTCCCGGGTTTCCCACTAGCTCTCGGAGTTGGGTACAAAGAGTGTTTCAAAACCCCATCTCCTGTGCTCAGCCCAGTGCTCCGGTAGGTCAGGTCTCCGGAACGCGTAAACAAAAGCAAACAGCTGAGCGGCGGAGGGCGCTGGCGACAGGTGTGGGTGTGCCCTGAGGATGCGTGGCGACTTCCCGGAGCAGCGAGTCTGTGAGGCAACGATGGAAGACACTGCACTCCACAGCATAGCAGCAGGCCCTGCCCTGGATGGCTCCAAGTAAAAGACAGTTCCCCAGAAGCCGTCGGCCGCCGGCGATTCGCCTCCTCCCGCGCCAGACCCCGCCTCTCCCCCCGACTACCGGTGCCATCCAGATGCCCCAGGCGGGACCCCAGCTCACGAAGCCCACCGGCCGAAGCTCCCCACAGGCTAGAGAGCCGCTCCTTCGAGGCCAAACTTCCGAGAGGCGGCCTGCGCCTAGCACGCAGGCGTGGAAAGCTAGGCGCCAGCCTCAAACTGACCGCCGCCACCTGCCTCGGGCCGCGCCGTCCGCCGTTTACTTTCGAACGAGCCCAGCAATAGTTCCCATTGGCCGATGCCGCGCAGTTGAAAGCTGCCTGCAGACTGCGCCTGCGCCGCGAGGCTCCGGGCGGCCCCGCCCGGCCTGGGCACCTGAATCTCTTCGGGGCGGAGGAGGGCGGGGACTCGGGGCGACTCTCAGCATCAGCCAGGAGCCGGTGGCTCTCAGTTTCGGCGCTGTGGAGTCGCCTACTCCGCCTCCTCCCCGCGGTGAGTCTAAGGACCTTTACGGATCCGAGAAGGTGGCTCTGAGTCCTTTTTCTTTTCCTGTAGAACAGGCTGGTGTTCCAGTGTGTTTGCTGGGGAGTCCTGGGGGCGTGACGATGGAGGGAGTGGCTTGGGACCTGCACTCATTCCCACTTGTCGCACACTGGAGTTTGGGGAACCATTCTCCCGTCTCTCCACTGTGGAGCTGCGTTCCTGTGAGGGAGGAGGTGCTCTGTGGTGGCCAGGGTGAGCTGGGCCAGGCCGAGTCGGTCAGCCCCGCGGGGCTTGGGGTCGGGCGGTTGCGGAGGCGGAGGCGGAGGCGGAGGCGCTTTAGGAGGGAGGCCTGGGAGAGTGGAGCTTTCAGAGGGGGAGGGGAAGAGTACTGCCATTTTGAGCCCCTTTGTGGGAGGTGCTCGTAGGACTTAGGTGGGATAGGTGCAGTTACCCATTTTACAGATGTGAAGCCTCACTTTTGAGAAGTATTTGATAATACTGACTCAGGTACTACAGCATTGAAATGGCAGAACAGAGAGATGAGCAAACTATACTAAATCAGTTATAATTTTGAGCTGGCAAAGTATTTTACTCCCATGGATGCTTTTGTCTTGCAGTTAATTTTAAGCACTCTAAAATGACCGTGAATGTTTTTTCTGCCATCGCCATTGGTGGGTAATATTGTCGAGAGCTCATAAGCTACTTGACGTTGTAAAGAGGTCCTTTGTGACCATCTGTTTGGTCAGAGTTCGGATTTTCAAGGAACAAGCGATACCTCTACTGCAGCTCCAGCAACTGTGTTGGTGTTTGTGACTTTTCGGAAAACACAGTGAAGCATAGTGAAGATAAACATCAAAGACAGTGAACTAACAACCATTTTTATGACATGAGACAATAAATTGAAAGCATTAAGGATAACATTATTTTAATTTTAGAATAAGAATAAAAGATTCTGGAGGAGTTGGAGAGAGTGTATTCAGTCCCCAAACCAGGAGATCAACAAAGTAGGTAAGTTCTGGGAGATTAAGTAAATATGAAAAACATTTTAACTGAGTTTTTACAGAGTGTATCATTTAAACTATAAAGTGAAATTTAGAAGTCTTTTGAGAAAACATTATGTTGATGGTGTATCAAATTCCAACCATCTTACCGAAGGAGTGGAGCATAAAGTGAAAAATAAACAGCTTCCTTTTCCGATCTGTACCTTAAAGGTAGTCACTCAACTCTTTCGTACATCCTTCTAGAAATTTTACAAGAATGTGTACATCTCAAAACACATGCAAAGCTGTTATTTTAGACATACAGATCTGCAGAACTACACAAAACTGCAAATTAAGTTACCTGGATACTTCTTCACTATGCATTCATATATTGGTCTTTTTAAATGAGTAAGTAGCTATTTAATCTGGCAAGGTGAAATTTTGATTTTAGGTAATGTTAGTTTTGACATTGCCTTTCACCAAACACGTTGATGAATATTTCCCACCAGATATATTTTTACTTTGAAAAGTATAACAAAAGTAATTAAAGCCTTAACTTCTCAAGTCAGTTCCTGGTTAAATTGAATTAATAGTCTTTTTTTGTTTTGTTTTTAGTTTTTTTATTTTTTAGTTTAGGAAAACAGGTTGATATCAAAATGAAATAAAATAGTACAGATGGACAAAGAGAGTTAAAATCAGCTGACCATAGGATTTTTTTTTTTAATTTGAAAAAGTTAAGGTGATCTCTCATTATTTTTGTATATTTATATGTGGCAGAATTATTTTTAAAAATCTTGTTTCTCAAACTTTCCGCAACAGTGTTAAAAAAAAAAAAATCTTATATATGTATATAAATGATGCAGTTGTAGTTATTTCTTAAGTAAGTCTTCGATTGCATGAAATGTATTTCTTCTTTATCAGTTAGGGCCACAAAGATGTGAACCCCAATTTGGGTGGTGGCACCACTTGAATTTTTCTATACTTAAAGCTGACTCACTAGAAGTCATGGGGCAAGTCATCGAATTCTATAATGTAGTAAAAATATTTTCGTTTCAGAGGCTGTGAAATGTAATGAATGTTTTACAACTGTTCATGTTTAGAGTTGAAAGGCAGGAAAGCATTAGTGAATTAAAGCTTAAAAACTGGTTTACACAAGAGAATGGGTAATGATATTTTTGGTGCTATTTAATCATCTGTTATACTATCTATTACCTAATATGCCAGTAAGACATCAGGGAGGCTCTCTAGTGAATTGGTCCTCTGGAGAAAGACTTAATAAAAAGTGTGGAAATTCAGAAATGTATTTGTTTTGACACTTAAACACAAGACGTTAGTGAAATAATTTGTCAGTAGAGTGATTTAGCCTCAGATTTCTTTCTGAGAAGATTCATTTTTTTATATTTATATTTCTTGGTGACTTTTAAAAGAGAAGCAGGAAATCTTGAGGTACTGGTTTCTACATGAGCTTAGTACTCACTAGAGGAAAATACATTTTACATGGATTATTTTACTTTTTTGCTTTTTAAAAACATACAGTAGTATAAATTGATTCAAATTCATTTAGCAAAAGAAAGACTGGATAATAGGCAAGACACTTGAACATTTTTTTTAATTGTGTAAAATATACTAAACATAAAATTTACCATTTTAATATTTTTAAGTATACAGTTTGGTGGTATTAAATACATTCAGATTGTTTTGTAATTATCACCACCAACTATCTCCGTAACTTTTTCATCTTCCCAAACTGAAACTGTGTACCCATTAAACCAGCAGTCCTCAACACTTTTGGTACCAGGGACCAGTCTCGAGGAAGACAATTTTTCCATGGACAGGTGCGGGTGGGTGGTGCATGGTTTTGGGATAAAACTGTTCTACCGCACATCATCAGGCATTAGATTCTCACAATGAGCTACAGCCTAGTTCCCTCGCGTGTGCAGTTCACGGTAGGGTTCACACTCTTATGAGAATCTAATGCTGCCACTGATCTGGCAGGAGGCTTTGCTCAGGCGGGCTTGCCAGCCGCCATGGCGGGGGTGCAGGGTGGGTAGGGAGGGTTGGGGACCCTTGCATTAAATGTTAACTCTACGTCTTCCCTGCTCTCAAGCCCTGGCAACTACCATTCTACTTTTTGTCTTTGAGGACTGCTTATTGGTTTTAATATTAGATATGCTTTTTTCACATATAATGTGAATGTAAATTTTTTTTCCATTGAACTAATTGAGTGAATTATATTAATAGATTTTTTGTTATTGAATTAACTTTATATTTCTGGGAAGAACCTTATTTAGTCATGGTGCAGTGTTTTTTTAAATGTACTCCTGTATTTGTTTTTGCTAACATTATATTTAGAATTTTACATAAGTGTCCATTTTTGAAATTAGTCCATTTTTAGTTTGTATTGTCTCAAGTTTTGGAATCATGTTATACTGTCTTCAAAACATTTAGCAAACTTTTCATATTTGTATTCTGGAACAGTTGAGTAGGGCCTAGTCCACACTCAAGGGAGAGATTTCAAGAGTATCCAGGAAGTGCAGGTCATTGGGAGCCATTTTAGAGGCTGCCTATCACAGATAGCTAATGGCTTGTTTATTTACTTAAATAACTAACTCTTAGACTGGTCATGGTGACTCACAGCTATAATCCCAGCCCTTTGGGAGGCTGAGGGGGGAGGATCTCTTGAGGCCAGGAATTTGAGACCAGCCTGGGCAACATAGTGAGACCCTATCTCTACAAAGCATAAAAACATTAGGCACGTGTGTTGACATGTGCCTATCAGCTACTTGGGAGGCTGAGCTGGGAAGATTGTTTGAGCCTGGGAAGTTGAGGCTGCAGTGAGCCATGGTCTCACCACTGCATTCCAGCCCTGGTGACAGAGCAAGTCTCAGTCTCAAAAAGAGCCATCTCTTGGGTTTATCAGTTCTAGCATTTTTATTTTTTATTTTTTTGAGACATAGTCTTGCTCTGTCACTCAGACTGGATTGCAATGGCATGATCTCGACTCACTGCAACCTCTGCCTCCTGGGTTCAAGCGATTCTCCTGCCTCAGCCTCCTGAGTAGCTGGGATTATAGGCGCCTGCCACCCTGCCCAGCTAATTTTTGTATTTTTAGTAGAGATGGGGTTTTGCCATGTTGGCCAGGCTGGTCTCGAACTCCTGACTTCAGGTGATCTGCCTGCCTCGGCCTCCCAAAGTGCTGGGGATTATAGGTGTCAGCCACAGTGCCCAGCCAGTTCTAGCAGTTTAAGTTTTCTAGTTCATTATCATCTTCCATTTATCTTTATTATTATTTTGTCTTTTGAGACAAGGTGTGGCTCTGTAGTCTAGGCTGGAATGCAGTGGAATGACCATGGTTCATGGCTCACTGCAGCCTGGACCTCCCAGGCTCCAGCAATCCTCCCTCCTCAGCCTCCTGAGTAGCTGGGACTAACAGGCATGCGACACCATGCTTAGCTAAGTTTTTTATTTTTTATAGAGATGGGGTTTCAGTGTGTTGCCAGGGCTGGTCTCAAACTGCTGGGCTCAAGTGATCCTCCCACCTTGGCCTTCCAAAGTGCTGGGATTACAGGTGTGAGCCATCACACCAGGCTTATCTTTATTCTTTTTTTTCCACTTTTCCTTGTTTTTTTTTCCCCTCTTTTTTTAAGTTGAATTATTTTATATTCCTTTTGGTTTGGTAAGGAAAGTGTATGGTGTCAACTCTGCCCATGTAGTTTTTTTTAGCTCTGTAGATTTTACTGAAGAGTATTTCTGTTGTTTCACATGAATAAATTATGTGTTGACTGTGTACAGAATTCTCAGCTCATATCCCTTTCCTTCTAGACCTTGTGGACATTGCTACATTGTGTTCTAGCATTCCTTGTTGCTGGTGATGTTCTGGTTATTTCCTGCTGTGTAACAAATATCTGAAAGCTTGGCTGGCCAGATGTTCAAGATGTCTTTTTCACTCATGTGTCTGGCAATTCCTTGCCCTTCTGTTTGGCCTGTCTCTTCAGCAAAGTAGCCTGGACTTCTTACATAGCAGTTTGTGGCTCAGAGGCAGCAACCTGCCAAGCTAGTTAAGGGCTATACCTAGAACTCACCACATCACTTATACTGTGTCTTCTTGGTCAGAGCAGTCACATGGCCCACACATATTCTAATAGGGGGAGAATAGATTTCAACTCTTCATGTGCAGGGAGTAGAAGCAAAGCCACATTATAGGACAGCTCGTGTGGGAGGTAATTACTGTGGGCATTCCAATTTTAGAAATTCCAGTCTTTCAGAGGAGAATTCTGAGACCTTTGGTTTTGTTTTCCTTTTTTCATCCTTCTTTTCTATGTGGATACTTGTAGGATTCTCTTTCTTTCTTTAAAATTGTATTATATTTTTAATTGCTTAATAGTTAAAAGTGAAACCATAATTTATAATGAAAAACAGATTCTTACCCTCTAGAAGCAGTCACTTTTACCTTTTTTAACATTTCTTTTGGTATTCTAAATTTCTAGATATTTATTTTTTTGTGGTTTCTTTATTTTTTAAGTATGTATTGACTTTCTTATAAGGAAAAATTAAGATTTAGTTCTTAAACTGTTTCCTTACTGTATTTCCCCCCTCAATATAATTTTGTTACTCTTTGGTAAAATCAGTATTCGATATTTACAATATTATGACTGTTACAGTGACAGCTGAGCCATATACTACAATATTAATCTTTCCTCTTTTCGTGATTCTATCATTTTTTTCCCTAAATTTAGTTACCTCTCAGTATGTTTCAGATACATGAAGCATTTCTATCAGTTCCATGTATTTACTTAAACATCTGTCTTCTGCACGCCTGTAATCCCAGCACTTTGGGAGGTCGAGGCAGGCAGATCATCATGAGGTCAGGAGATCAAGACCATCCTGGCTATCATGGTGAAACCCCGTTTCTACTAAAAATACAGAAAAATTAGCCAGGCGTGGTGGCGGGTGCCTGTAGTCCCAGCTACTTGGGAAGCTGAGGCAGGAGAATGGCATGAACCCAGGAGGCGGAGCTTGCAGTGAGCGGAGATTGCATCACTGCACTCCAGCCTGGGCGACAGAGCGAGACTCCATTTCAAAAAACAAAAAAGAGATCTGTCTTCTGGATCTGCCTTCCTCTTCTAGAGTGACTCTTCTCTAGGCTTTCACAGTTGTCCTGGAATTTATTTCACCATTATGCTGGTGAACATTCTTGCTTTTCTTTTCTCCCTGCAGTAGCGTCTTTAGAAAGAGTTGGCAGAAGGTTGTTCATTTTTGAGATCTTACGTTGTCAAACTGTCTTTATATAAAAATTTATTGTTTTTTTTTCTATGTATAGAATTTTATTTTCCATTTTGGAAGCTATTTTTTTTTTCTGAGAATATCAAAGGCATTACTCCATTGTCTTATTGTTTCCAGTGTTACTAATGTTTTTACTGTTTGGAAACCTACATACAGCATAGCTAAATCCAAGGTGTTCATCCTAGATTAATTTTTGCTCTTTTTCTTCCTTCCAGAAGTCTAGACTGGTTGTGGAAAATTTCTGCTGCATAAAATTTCATACTGGTTTCTGAAAGAACTAGCCTGTAAGCATGGTAGCCACCTTTTTTTTTTAAAAGAAAAAAAAAGGGTCTTGCTCTGTTGCCTAGGCTGGAGTGCAGTGGCAGTCGTGGCTCACTGCAGCCTCAACTTCTTGGGCTCAAGTGATCCTCCTGCCTCAGTTTCCTGAGTAGCTGGGACTATAGGCATGTATAACTGTGCCTGACTAATGTTTAATTTTTTGTAGAGATAGGGTCTCACGGTGTTGCCCAGGTTGGTCTTGAACTCCTGGCTTCGAGTGATCTTGCCACCTCTGCCTCCCAAAGTGCTGGAATTACAGGCGTGAACCACTGCACCTGGCCCACCTATATAGTTAGTGTACTTCTCAGGCAGCAACCAGAGTCAGAAAGTTCCTGACCTTACACAGTTATTTTTCAGTTCTAGTTTCTCTTCAATTTGTTGCCTAAAATTAGTTTTTAATAAATAAACCAGTGAGAAAAGGGTAGTCCGAGAATAGATTTTGACTTCTGTGATCTGTAAGTTATCTACAAATTTTTGTCTAAAAAGTATTATTAAAAATTTTACATATGATAGCAGTAACTTTGAGACCAACCATGATTTTTGCTTCCTTTTTTTTTTTTTGAGACAGAGTCTTGCTCTGTTGCCCAGGCTGGAGTGCAGTGGCGCCATCTCATGCCTCAGCTTCCAGAGTAGCTGGGATTATAGGGATTACAGATGTGCGCCACCATGCCTGGCTAATTTTTGTGTTTTTAGCAGATACAGGGTTTCACCATGTTGGCCAGGCTGGTCTCGAACTCCTGGCCTCAAGTGATCCACCTGTTTTGGCCTGCTTCCATTTTATATAAGCTTAGGATTTGCTTTACAATGTCGTGAATATTTTCATTTTAAAGAAAGTTGAGCTTTTGGGCCCCTAAATGCATTATCAGAGTTGTTCCCTAGCTTTTTGCAAGCATAGAATAGGGGTTTGGGGAGAAAAGTTAGATTCTGTTTTAGGACTAGTTTTGCTACTTAAACAATTGAATAGCTCCAATAATATTAAATCTAGATTAAATGTATGTCCACTGCTCAAATTTTATTTCTTACAAAGTGTTATTCTGTTTATTCCTTCAATGTGAATTCTGACATCACTGAAATACTCTGAAAAACACATTTGTTTTTCTTGGGTGGTTTCTGTATGAGTTCAGAGATTTCTGTAGGTGTAAAGTTGTAAAGTCTTGCCAACATGCACTCGCTTGAATTCATCTGCAGTGAATGTCATCTTTACTGTTGCTCAATTACTTTAGTTTGTTGGAATGCTTCATCGTTCAAGCTTAGTCTCTGTTTGACACACTTTGGCTCATTCAGGGTCTGTCAGTCTGAATGGAGTATTTTCTGATAGATTTTCCTTTTACACCTTTTCCTAAGCAGAGATTTTGCTATTAAAAAAAAAAAGCAAAAAAAAAAAAAAAAAAAAAAGCAAAAAGAAAACAAAAAAAAGTCCCGAAACAAAAATCTGTATTATCACAGGTGTCTGAAAAGGCATTTGTTCATTGAACCAATAACAAGTAAATGCCTGCTGTGTTAAAAGTTGTGCCTAAATTGCAGGAATATAACCATAGTTTAGACACAATTCCTGCCCTTCTAGGAGGCCTACATTCTAATGTATACAGAAAAGTTACAAAATTCTTTTAAATAAAATCTTGTTAAAGTGCTATGAAGTAAAAGTGCAGTGTTTAATGAGAATAACAGGGGACCTAATCTGGGGAAAGGCATCCCAAGTTGAGCCCTGAAGAAAGAGTAAGAGTTTGACAGATAGTAAAGATAAGGAGCCAAGTTTGCATTTTATTAGAAATGCAGTTACTTTTAGATGCTATTTTCACAGATTTTTAATCTTAAAAGTTAGTTTTATGGCATGCGATTTGGTAACCTTTATATTTTATGTGAATGGCACTTGGGTGTCTTTTTTTTTTTGAGACGGAGTTTTGCTCTTGTTGCTCAGACGAGTGCAATGGTGTAATCTTGGCTCACAGCAACCTCTGCCTCCCAGGTTCAAGCAATTCTCCTGCCTCAGCCTCCCGAGTAGCTGGGATTACAGGCATTTGCCACCACACCGGGCTAATTTTGTATCTTTAGTAGAGACGGAGTTTCTTCACGTTGGTCAGGCTGGTCTCAAACTCCTGACCTCAGGTGATCCATCCGCCTTGGCCTGCCAAAGTGCTGGGATTACAGGCATGAGCCACCGTGCCTAGCCATGGCACTTGGGTTTTTAAGTTTTGCCTAAGGTACTTTCAACAGTGGTGTAACTTGATTTTTCTCTATCAAGGGGTAAGCTAGTCTTCAGAATTGTGGCTTGCGTTGAGGGTAGATATAAAGGAAAACAGTAGGAGGTGATAGGGTGCAAAATGGTCAGACTTCTGTTACTGGAAATATCAGTAATAGCTTGCCAAGAGGTCAAGTTACTTGTGTCAGAGATGGTCTCTGAACTATTGCTGCATTTCTTTTTCTGTCTCAGAAATACTGATTGAGAGACTTTTTCATGAAGGAAAGATGACTAATGGTCTCCTTTTTGTTCTTTACCATTTAGTGCTCTAGTTTTTCACTTAAAAATTAAGGCAGTAATTCAGTTACCATAGTCAACTCTTATTTTTCAAACTGATTTTTATTATAAGGATTAATTCAAAATTTTTCTGCCTTCTAAATCTCCAAGTTAAAATTATCGCCTTAGAAATTTATACTGTGCTGATCCTGGGGTTTAAGCATACTTGTATTTTAATTCAAGAACCTAAAAAATTTATGGTAGTAACAGTTACTATGGAGAAATTTGATAACTTGCTTTAGAAACCATTGTTGAGCCAACTGGGACATGTTTCCTTCTTTTGTATTAAAGAATATACTTTTGCTAAGCCTAACTTGTTATAATAGAAATAGTCTTGTCTACTCATTATATGTGCTTGGTTTTGATTTTATAATCTTAAATGTTAAAATGTTGCCCAAAATAGGCCAGGTGCGGTGGCTCATGCCTGTAATCCCAGCACTTTGGGAGGCCGAGGCTGGCGGATCACGAGGTCAGGAGATCGAGACCATCCTGGCTAACACGGTGAAACCCTGCCTCTACTACAAATACAAAAAATTAGCTGGGCGTGGTGGCAGACGCCTGTGGTCCCAGCTGCTCGGGAGGCTGAGGCAGGAGAATGTCATGAACCTGGGAGGCAGAACTTGCAGTGAGCCAAGATCGTGTCACTGCACTCCAGCCTGGGTGACAGAGTCTCACCAAAAAAAAAAAAAAGAAAAAAAAAGTTGCACAAAATAGTTGTAATCACTAAGTAGACTTTAACAGAACACTTTGAATTTTTGTCTTTATTAGATAGTATATTAGTCTGTTTTCATGCTGCTGATAAAGACATATCCGAGACTGGGTAATTTATAAGGAAAAAGAGGTTTAATGGACTCACAGTTCCACGTGTCTGGGGAGACCTCACAATCATGGCAGAAGGTGAAAGGCGCATCTCACATGGTGGCAGACAAGAAAAGAGAATGAGCCAAGGGAAAGGGGTTTCCTCTTAAAAAACCATCAGATCTCTGATACCACAAGAACAGTATGGGGGAACTGCCCCGATGACTCAAGTTATCTACTGCTGAGTCCCTCCCACAACATGTGGGAATTATGGGAGCTACAGTTCAAGATGAGATTTGGGTGGGGACACAGCCAGACCATATCGCATAGCAACAAATTTAAATAACTTTAATTTGAAGCATTTTACTACAAATTAATGATAATCGCTTTGTTTGGGATGCTTTTGGTCCCTAAGGAATAAACTCTTAATTGTGATCAGTTATTCACCATATATACTAGGAATTGAATTACTCAGAAAGCTTCATTTTAAAAATACCTTGTTCTCTTTTAAAAGACAAGCAGTATAGTAACAATTTGGAGGTTAATGCCTAGAATGTTAAATAATATGTACAGGTGTCTCTATGTAAACTTAAAATAAGCTTTTCTCTTGACAGGAAATGCACAATTTTGAGGAAGAGTTAACTTGTCCCATATGTTACAGTATTTTTGAAGATCCTCGTGTACTGCCATGCTCTCATACATTTTGTAGAAATTGTTTGGAAAACATTCTTCAGGCATCTGGTAACTTTTACATATGGAGACCTTTACGAATTCCACTCAAGTGCCCTAATTGCAGAAGTATTATTGAAATTGCTCCAACTGGTATTGAATCTTTACCTGTTAATTTTGCATTAAGGGCTATTATTGAAAAATACCAGCAAGAAGACCATCCAGATATTGTCACCTGCCCTGAACATTACAGGCAACCATTAAATGTTTACTGTCTACTAGACAAAAAATTAGTTTGTGGTCATTGCCTTACCATAGGTCAACATCATGGTCATCCTATAGATGACCTTCAAAGTGCCTATTTCAAAGAAAAGGACACTCCTCAGAAACTGCTTGAACAGTTGACTGACACACACTGGACAGATCTTACCCATCTTATTGAAAAGCTGGAAGAACAAAAATCTCATTCTGAGAAGATGGTCCAAGGTGATAAGGAAGTCGTTCTCCAGTATTTTAAGGAGCTTAATGATACATTAGAACAGAAAAGAAAAAGTTTCCTAACAGCTCTCTGTGATGTTGGCAATCTAATTAATCAAGAATATACTCCACAAATTGAAAGAATGAAGGAAATAAGAGAGCAGCAGCTTGAATTAATGACACTGACAACATCTTTACAAGAAGAGTCTGCACTTAAATTTCTTGAAAAAGTTGATGATGTACGCCAGCGTGTAGAGATCTTGAAACAAAGACCACTTCCTGAGGTTCAACCTGTCGAGATTTATCCTCGAGTAAGCCAAATATTGAAAGAAGAATGGAGCAGAACAGAAATTGGACAAATTAAGAACGTTCTCATTCCCAAAATGAAAATTTCTCCAAAAAGGATGCCATGCTCCTGGTCTGATAAGGATGAAAAGGAAATTGAATTTTTTAAAATTTTAAACATTGTTGTAGTTACATTAATTTCAGTGATACTGATGTCAATACTCTTTTTCAACCAACACATAATAACCTTTTTAAATGAAATCACTTTAATATGGTTTTCTGAAGCCTCTCTATCTGTTTACCAAAGTTTATCTAACAATCTGCATGAGGTAAAGAATATACTGTGTCACATTTTCTATTTGTTGACGGAATTCATGTGGAAAATAGTTTCTCATTGAAAACGTCAATCTGAATTGTTTAAATGGGCTCATTCTGTACACTGCTAAATGAAAAATAGGGTGGCAGCATGAATAAATAGCAAACTAAGCTTTATTAGTGCTGCAACTAATATAAACAAAGTTTATATTTGTTGCTTTTGGTTAGCAATATGTCAAAGTTAGAAATATCTGAAATATTCCAATCTTTGGGAAAATCTAGTAACTAATTTGAAAAATACACTGTCTCATTTTTATTGGCTTTATGAAGGTTGACATAATGTTGCTGTGACATTTAAACATTCTTGTACCAAGTTAATTGGCTTTACAGTTCTTTATATATATAGCAAAATCCTGAAAGTACGTATACCTTTATTTTGATATGGCTTGAAGCTTTTGAATGGGTGAATAGAATGATAGGTTTTAAAATCAAGCAACAAAGTCTTAAAGTGATAAGGCATTGCTTAAAGATCTTTTGATCAAATATACCTGTGTTTTAAATAGTTTAAGAGCCCTAAATGTTTATCACCATTCACTCCAAATAAAGCTATTGCTTTTGGATAACTGTTCGGGAACAGTGGCTTTTTAAAAGAAATTTTCGAGACTGGGTCTCACTTTGTTGCCCAGGCTGGAGTGCAGTTGTCTGGTCATGACTCACTGCAGTTTCGACCACCCAGGCTCAATTGATCCTCCCGCCTCTGCCTCTGATGTAGCTGAGACAAGGCACACACCCCCATTCTTGGCTAATTAAAAACATTGTTTTTTGCAGAAATGAGGTTTTGCCATATTGCCCAGGTTGGTCTCAAAGTTCTGGACTCGAGATCTGCCCACCTTGGCCTCCCAAAGTGCTGGGATTACAGACATGAGCCACTGTACCTGGGGGCCAGCATTTTTAATACTTGTCATATTCTATGTTAGTGTGAATTTAAGATTGTATTTAACTTTTCTGCTCATCAAATCAGTTCTTGGATTAAAAACTCATTCTTACTAGAACAGAATCATTTTGGTAACTTGGTCTGCCACAGGTTTTGATGGCATCGTGGACTTTATTCATCTTTTTTATTATACTTTAGGTTCTAGGTGTATACATGTGTATACATGTGTACAACATGCAGGTTTGTTACATATGTATACATGTGCCATGTTGGTGTGCTGCACCCATTAACTCGTCATTTACATTAGGTGTATCTCCTAATGCTATCCCTCCCCCCAATATGCCCCAGTGTGTGATGTTCCCCTTCCTGTGTCCAAGTGATCTCATTGTTCAATTCCCACCTATGAGTGAGAATATGCGGTGTTTGGTTTTCAACTTTATTCATCTTAGCTCATTTAAATTTTCTACCACATTCCCTTAAGCTAATGCAAAAGTACCAATAACTTAATCTTATATTTGCTTTGCTTAAGAGGGCCTATTAAATCAAAGCCTTTTAGTTCCCTTTAACAGGGACTGGAGTTATGATGCATGTGTTACGACTTTTGGCCCACTGTTCATGCAACCCTAAGTGCAGGTTGATTTGCTTTCCAGAAATCCCAAAGGGGCTGCTCTTGGATCACTGAAGAAGAGCCTTATCTAGTTCAAAAAGACGTTTTGGGTCAGATTAGACAATGCTCCTGGCCCTACAGATTACACATAAACTATCATAAATAAATACAGCTTTTCAGGGAACTAGTCCTAAAAGTCTTATCTGCTGAGAACAAGTCTTAACACTAAGATGACGGTATTATATCAATTTATGATTAGTATCAGACTTACACCTAGCACAATTAACTATTGTGTGGGTAAAGAACATTTAAAGGGCATAGTAGAGGTAAGGAGACACATATTCAGGTAGAGATAAAAATACTAAGTTGCATTGATTACTTAAAATACTAGTCACACCATAAAAGTGCCCTGTAGTTTGAAAAACACATAAGCAATGAAATGTATGTTAGCCATTATGTGTTAAGCTACTTAATCTCTCATATCTGTGATGTGAATATTTTTAACCCCCACTTTTTGTAGATGAGGGAACTGACAAGTGACTTGCCCAAGGCCATATAGCTGTGGGAGAACCCATGCATTCTCTTTTCAGAGTTCATGCTAGCACTCAACTTTAAAGAAGTAGGCCAAGATTAATGTTAATAAGGGTTTATAATCTATAAGAATAGCTAAAAACATAAGTATATATACCATTTTAGATTTGACATTATTTTGTATCTTGCTAGTTTTTAGGAAGACTTCATTTTGTTAAGTATGCATATGACTGAATATGAGTAACTGGTTCTTATACTGCTGTTTTGTATTTTTACCAGCAGGAAGATTGCAAAAGTTAATGTATATAAATCTTGAAATATTTCTAAGTTTTATGTATAACAAAATACATATTTTAATAAACACCTTTTGATATTTTATTTGCACTGTCTTAATGAGACTTCCAAACTCAGGAGTGGTAGCTATGGGATTTTCACATGGATTCTGGGTACTTCTATTCTTTGAAACTTAGTACTGCAGGCTGGGTGTGGTGGCTCATGCCTGTAGTCCAGCACTTTGGGAGGCTGAGGCAGGCAGATCACTTGAGGCCAGGAGTTTGAGACCAGCTTGGCCAACATGGCAAAACCCCACTCTACCCAGAATACAAAAATTATCTGGGCACTGTGGTGTGCACCTGTAGTCCCAGCTACTCGTGGCTGAGGCACTTGAATTGCCTAAACCCATGAGGCGGGGTTGCAGTGAACCAAGATCTTGCCACAGCACTCCACCCTGGGTGATGGAGTGAAACTCTCAAAAAATCTGAGCTCTACTGCATTGGTTATGAAAACATAATAAAGTATTAAATTCTATTCTCCCACCAAATGAAAACACTTGAGATTATCATTATAGCATTTTAAACTTACTTTTCCCTTATATATTTTTTTTTTACTTTTCTTGAAAAAAATTTTAGAAAATGGCAGTTAATAAAAGGCACAAACAAATCAACAGGGACATACTAGTGGAAAACACAATATAAAACTAAAAGGCCATTGGCTTGTTTAACTGGTTAAAAGCACAAAATGTAACAGGCAGAAAGTCTGTTTCAAACAAATTAAAAAGCTATGTTTTTTTTAAATTCTCCCCAAATCAGATACATACACACCCACAAAAAGTGTGTGAAGGAAAGCTGTCATACACAAGAAGTTGTATCCTGAATTCTTCAAGGAAACATATTGAAATAGGAATTAACAGAGTCAGCAACAGATTAATAATTTTTAAAAATTGAGTCTTAAAATGCTACATGGCCCAAAGCTATACTATATAAAGTACTGCTAGGTACAAAAGAAAATGTCTGTACAGCTTTTAGCAAAACTGCTTTCTCAGAAAAGCAAATTAAAATAATGCAATCAGCAGATCAAGGAGACTATAGACATCAGAGCTACAACTTCTCATTTCTGTGTCAGAAAATCCTATTTATCCAGAATAGACTAAAATTTCAGGACAAAACAGGGACTTAACATTTCTTTCTTTACCCAGTTTAAGTTCATCTCCCCCACCCCCCAAGCCAGTAATTCAGCAAGATCCAGCAGGAAGAGGGCTACTTTTAGAATTCGCTATTTTACTTTTCTATGGCGAGACTGTCATGGAGCCTGGATATTTCAGGCTCATACGCATCCAAGACCAGTGTCCCACTGTGGTCAAAAAACTTAGCAATGGACTTGGTGAACTTGGCTTCCCGCTGCTGCTTTGTTCTCCCACTGATGAAGGTCGGCTTCAAGGTGTATTTGTCATCAAACCTTTTAAGACCGGAGGACAGCTGCCAAATATTATCAGGGTCCATTCCTGTAGGATCTTTCCTGTGGGCCATGAGACAGATGCTCTTCTCCTTATATGAGGTATAAATGGTCAGAATCCCCATCATCACAAAATAGGATATGACGCACAAAGCCAAAACGGGTTTGGACTCTGGAAAGGGGTGCATACAATCCCAAAGCAAAGCCAGTATGGCAAAGAAACAGGCGATTGTACAGATGGTGAGACGACCATCAATTAGACCAAAATTCTCCACGTATTTCTATTTTTCTAGAAGTACTTTTTTGCCAGAATCATCCAAAGAGTTTTTCACAGCTGATCCATCCCACTTGTCAATTTTTACAGGCTTATCATCTGTCTTCCACTTAACCTAACAAGCCGCTACGGCCACTGCCTGTCCCGCAGTTGGAACCACCGCCAGCCCCACTATTGCCTCCCAGACCACGGCTTCTCCTGCCCTGTGCAGCTCCGCCGCCATTTTGACCACCTCTGCGTCTCCCCCTTATATATTCTTGATTTCCAATAAGTTACCATACTTGAATTTCAGATCTTGCTTTATTTAAAAGTCCATGCTAATGCGTTTACATTTTTACAGTTACATTATGATACAAACTGTTGGATTTCTTAAGTATCTAAAACAAAAGCCCACTGAAGAAACAATTAACTCTTTTAATTCCTTAGGATAAATACCCAGAAATTTAATAGCTAGGGCAGACTTCTAATTCAATACCAAAATTCCTTCCAAAAACCAAGTGGTTGCCAACTTATGTCCAGTAGCATTAAACATTCTTGAACCAATAGTATAAAAATACCCTGACAATTTTATAGGCAAACATTACTCAAGATATCCTACTAACCATTTACTACTAAAGTAACCCCCAAATACAGATGCTCCTCAACAGTGGGGCTACATCCTGGTAAACCTATCAAGTTGAAACTACCAAGTTGAAATGCATTTAGTACCCTGATAAATGTATCACAAAGTTGAAAATTTGTAAATGGAACCAGTGTAAGTCAGGGGCCATCTTCATACTCATGAAGCAACTACAGTGGGGTATTTTTCAACTTAAAAGATAGCCTAGGCTTGTTGAGACACTGTCTTAATTTACTGGCTCTCTTGTAATTAAGTCATAAATGGTCAAACATCAAATTCTAGAAAAGCATATATTTAAATTCTCATCACTATAATTCAAAATAACTGGTTTACAAAAATATGTTCCTAGTATTTGGGTAATAACTGTGGTGATTGTCTAAACTGGCAAGCTAAGTGGAATGCCTTAAAGAATATATCCAAGATTAGTTGGCAGATGTTTCCAGTGTAGGTAGATCAAAGGCCCACGAAGGTATGCTGAGCACAACCTAGTTCAGGACTTTGCCTCAACTAACATACTTCTTACTTTGGCAAGTTACTTGACCCTCCAGGTATCTAATTTTTCTCGATAGTCTGCTACTTACAAGATTGTCATTTTTTGTAATCTAGAAGCAATTACAGAGAATATTTTATTAGACTTAACTGCATAAAATAGAAACCAGTTTCATGATCTAGTTTAAGGGGTATTTTATAAAACTCATAATC